AACATGGCTGACTGTACAAGTATCATTTTCACTTGGCTTCATTGACTCCTCATCGGTCAGGAACGGAAGGGAACGGATTCGTAATGACTTTGATTCGACAACTTCAGTGCTATTGGACATATCCTAACGATGAGGTTTTCGAAAGTGTGGTTTCTCATTTCTAACATCCAGCCCCAGCGTAAAAATATCCTAGAAGAAGCTAGGTATGAACGGTTGGTAAGGGTTATGCCTCAGCAATATGTAGACGGATAGCCATAAGTAAAGGTAATCTGTAGTCCCGATTTCTCGTACCAAACAAACGTTCACCGACAGAAAGAGAGCTCAGCTGGAATTTCCAAAGGAAACTTGGAATCTAGACTTATTAGGAGCCCAGAAACTACTGGGTTTGCGCGTAAGGGCTTCTAGTCACTATCAATAAGCATGTTAAGATCTAGCAGCATAGAAGTAGCCAGATTCTGTGAAAAAGCAATGACGGCAAACTATTTCACGGAAGATGATTCATAAATTATGAGTCAGTATTTTGGAACACTTAAATTTTTTCTGAAACCTCAGCCTAGTGTTCGGAACAACTTCCGATGACAATTCTCCTAAAGTTACCACCACCCTTCTTACCATGTGGATCGAGAGGAACCTCGCCGGCATTCTAATCCGTTCACAGCTTTTAAGTATAGGGAAGAGGGCCACAAATGTATGATAGCCTTTAAAAAAGTTTAATTTGGAGGCGGGTACCATTCTAGACCTCAAGCACTAAGCAAGCACTGGAAACAGCACGAAACGATTGGGAAAACAAAAGGAGAATGATGGACAGCAAAAAATGTTTTGATAAGCCGCTTAGAACATCCAAAAGAGTGCAGACCATAATGAATTTTAACAAGAGTGAAATTTTATTTCAAGAGAATATTAATTGTCAAATCGCATTTCAGCACAGCCACCGAACGGCTCATGATGCAAATGTGCGCTTCAAATGTCAGCTGTGGATACAATATGCGCCACACTCACAGCCGTTTATCGAGAGTACAGAATGGAGGCAATGAGTTACGTCACGGGTGTTTACTGTGTGCGTAGTCTAGTAGCTTTACATAAGTTGACGGATAGGAAAGCAGTAGTCAGCAGAAAAGAATGCCAGGGAACTTTAACATTCTTTGTATACACAAAAGAGCTGTTAGGGTTTTCGAGATAGGTGAGGATCTTTCCGTGGAAGTAAGGCAGAAGATGAAGCAAATTCTAATTGCGGTGGCTGGCTAAGCGATGTGCGAGTCAGTGTTTTTACTCACCCAGATGGGTTTGTTACCAGTTACCGGCCCTGAAGGGATGGCAGGCCTAGTCGGATATTGATCCGGGATTCGAACACGTGACCATGCGTAGGTGATGGTGCGCCACATGCCACTACACCGTCTCCGTAAGGTAGGTAGGACAGTACACGTTCACTCAATTAACACAATACGAAATTGAGAATAATTCCGTCAACTAACGAGATAGAAAAAGTACCACACCCTCCAGGTCAGTGGAATCAGATCATTGAGTAGACGGTAGGTATACCGTCCCTGTGGACTGATTCCTTTCGGTATCAAAAAAGTGTGGCTAAGAATTGCTGACAGGATCAAAGAATTACTTTTTGATGGATCACATTCAATCTCAATGCAGCTAATCGAAACAATGATGATAATACCAAATTTTGCACAAAAATGAAATGCACAGAAAAGGACTGGACTGGAAAGGAACACCTGCGGTGTGCAGGATAAACAGCAGATTAGGGTACAGGTCGTGTCGGATTTTAGCTCAGGACACTTCAGGAAACAAACCGATGACTATTTAAGCACGACTGACAGACGTCTCACAAGGCTACGCCACTAAGCCGCTACGTATACATAACGCGTACCAAGGCTTATTTCCGAACAGGAAACAGATGCTACTGGTTTAACTTTTGATTGATCAATAGTACTGATACTCATAACATATAGGTAATTCATTGTAAGACTGCCTTAAATATGTACAGCTGAAAGATGCCGATGTTAGGGGGTCATACAGCGACTGTGAAACCCAATTGTACAAGCTAATCAGCCCGAGCTGTGCCTATCGCTCTACTTGCTCAGGCCCGGGACAGGGAATGATGAAAGCATGTGAGTGTCATTTTCGCTCGGAACAGTACGTATGGGAAGATTCAAGATCCCCAGCATCATTGGGAACAGCAATATTTGTTCCTTAAACCAATGTGACGGTGAGAAAAGGTGATCTGAAATGGAGCTGAAGAAATGCTGTTCGATGGATCGAACTCTGCGGAATTTAAGTCGCTGTAAAGAATCTTCAGCAGACGAAAAAGAAAAACAAGTAATGGAAACAGTAGAGGTCAAGAGTCTCCTTTTGTAAAAAAAAAATGGGAGCAATGGGAAACGGTGAATTGCTGAAGAGAACGAAGTAACGATCATTAGAATGGATTCAATGCGAATTGAAATAGATCATAAAGTTACGAATTTGTTGCAAATCGCCCAAAAAATGGATCGATCGCTTATCGGGATCGATATTTTATCAAGCACTCACTGAAAAGCAACGTGTGCGACCACCAAGTCGCGTATCGGATCACAATCACAAATCAGTCCACGGCGACAGGCCATGGTTACTCCCCGGTTTTCACGGAGGGAACAGATTCCTTGCGCTCCATGATACAATTCTCAGAACAATGAATATTAAGCGCCCTCCCCAGGGGCGCACAGTATCACTACAAATACCGAACTAGGCAATCATAAGAGGTAGAGCTGCACTTACCTCCTATTGAGGAGGGCTTAGGTACTCCCACTTTGGAAAAAGCCTATTTCTGACCCAAAGTCAGTCAATGGTTTCTAGCACAAGACAGGAAGAATAACTTATTTGTCATGTATCTGTGATTTAACCCTCATTTAAACTTTTCAAACAAAGAAGCACCTACTCTACCTAATATGTATCTCAATCTAATCTCTTTTAATTTGAGATATTCGTTGACAGACAAAAAAGTGTTTCGATTCTTACGTCCTTCAAACAGCGAAGCTTCAGTTCCACTCTGATTGTGAGTTTCAGAACATAAAGTTCTATCAGAATAGAGCATTTGAATCAACAAAAATCTAGACATCCCGGCTCATCACTACTGTGTTGGCAGCATTTGTAAGCAAATAGAAAGGATTGGAACTTAATGCTTCCCAGTTTATTTCTTATCTTCGATTTTCGATCGCTATGCAGAAAAATTTAAGTACCAATCGGATATAACTAAGCTACGGCAAAACTCAGAATTTTTTCTCAAGTGTTGCCGAATATGATCTGCACTTTGTCACTATACGACCGCTTTATTTGCACAGCAATAGAGCCCATTGAAAGCAAGAATGCAGCGTTACTTTTTTCCCGACAAACTTTGTCAATAGTGCAGGAGTTACGGCACCGTGGAAAAAGATTCTTCTGAAGGGACTGAATGACCAGCTCAAATGATAGTTTCCGACTGGAAGAGACGAGTCAGGTCACCCCAGAGAGACACCAATACAGAATAGCGAGATCCTGGCAATAAAGTTGTGGCAGAACTCACTAAGCTCCTTGTATATTTAGTAAGAAAACACTGGCTGCCCAAGGCTTCAGCTACATACCGTTTCTGTCTCGACCCTATTGAAGACCTTCTTCCAATCGATGAATGTTAGACTTAACGGCATCCTCAATTCTCGTGATTCTTCAAAGAATTTGTGGCCGCGTGGATGTGATGGATAGTAGTGCACCCACTCAAAAACTCTGCCTCGCATGACTCTCTCTAACCTTTCGCCTCTCCTAGTCATCCTTTTGAAGACGGCTACCGTAAAAAGAGCGGTAATGGCGGATATCGTCTAGATGCCCCTCCTTAGAGAGCAACACAGTCTTCCTTATTTTTTGCTACATGGGCACTTCGCATCCCGATCGGTACCGCGTGAGGAGCTTAGCCAGTGTTTCGACAACTGACGGAAGGCTCTCCAGATTTTCTGAATAAAAGTTTCACACACAAACATTTGCCTTAATCAATCGCTTGAACGCTCAGCTGGAGATTCTTTCTTTTCAGCTTTTCCACTCCTAGACGTGTGTAATACCAGTCATCCGGTTTCAGAGGGACGGAAAAATTAGATGGATACCGATCTCGGATTCGAACATCGGACCATGCGTGTGATAGTGCACCACTTGCTATCCTACCACGTCAGCTCTTTTCCGAAGTTTTGCCGAAACCGGCAGCTAGTTAAACACCTAACGGGCAATGTTCCGACTAACAAATTCTTTCACGCTTTCCGAATGAGTTCCAAAAAGGAATGAGGTGGGGTTGCTGTGGCAAGTGGCCCATTATTACACACGCATGGTCCTATGTTCGAATCCCAGAGATGAAGGGCTTACAAGAAAATTCGAATTCGAGGGTGAACCTCCCATCTGAGGCCGGTTGATGAGTGCTAGATTCGTCTTCGAGAAGAGAAGCATTAGCTTGCAGATCGGCTCACCACCGCACGTCATTGTGTAGGCCAGATACCGATCCAAACCTTCAAGCCGTCAACGCCATTCTGTATGAAAGTCGAATGCGTGGGCGCATACTGAAAATGGGATTGATCGACGCCAACATCTATGCTTCATTTTATTAGATTTGGAAAAGGCTTCACATGCTTCACAGTCGTTCACGATAATTTTGGGTTATCCATAAAATAACGAAAAATGAAGGAGCATTTGTAGAGTAGTACGATAAAGCTGAAGGAAGCTTGAGAACCGGGTGCTTCCAAAGAGATAAAAGGCTTCAGAAAAGCCGGCAAAAACGGAGCTGAACGTCATTCACTCAGTGAGTCACAAACCGTGCCTTTTAAAGCGCTTCATTCATCATATAAGTTTATTTGATCTTAATAAACTACAACATATAAAATTCCAAGCTAAAGTCATTTAAGACGAAAACAATGTAAGACAATATGCAAAATGTTTAACAGAAAACCGTCAGATATGTCACACATACTCGTGCGAGAGATCGTACTTATCGTAAATGTAGATTACATGGCAGCTTTGTTGGCTTTCCACCATCCGCGCACTTTTTCATGACCTTCATCTGATACTATCACCAGCTTCTTATCGCTGTCTGCCCACAATAGGATACCTTCCCTCATAGAAAAATCACGAACACCTGAAATATTCCACCATTTTTGAAGATCGGCACAAGGAATGGTATGCTAGATATATTACTAAACCGAAATCATATCCATATGTGCCTAGCAACGTAGCTTGTACTCGTCAACCCTTTCCTTTGAGGCCCACTCCAATTCCGATGACTAAGGTGATCGCTGTTTTCAAAGTCCCTACGGAATGTTTTCCAGCGCTTGAGATGCGTGAGCACTATTGGTAGTCCCTTAGCACTGACCTGCTTTAAAATGACTCCGCTCTAATAGAGGATAAGGACAAATTCTTTTGGTCTCGACCAATCTGCGCTCCCTCATTCGACTTCTATTCAGATCCGTAGGAGCGTACCGAATGCATATGCGGCTCATACAGTGACTGTAGTGGCTGGCCAATGAACAGATCAGTGTTTTCATCCCTTCAGACGAGTCTGGTATCGATTACCCGGTCCCGAAGGGATGGAAGGTTCGGGAGGTCTGGGCGGGTATCGCTCCAGTATTTGAGCCCGTAACTGTGCCTGTGTGACCATGCGCCACCTGCCAACACACCACCTCCGCGCTAATCCTAGAGAAGAGAAATGTGGGTAGCTTTGTCTACCAGCTCTTCTAATTGACACATTGAATTGATAGCCCTGAGTACACATGCACTCTGCCGATGTTCTACGCGGCGGTTCCTTTGTTGCAGATTAATCGTTGTGGGTGATAGGACCTCGAGGAGAGAGGCAAACTGTTACAGAATTACCAGTTAGAAATAATCATAATAACAGTAATAGAAATTCTCGGCAAACGTTAATTTCTGAAAAATTGAACTTCTAAAAAGCTCTATGAGTTCTTCTAAAAATCTACAAACTCCAGTAAAGGGTTATATCATAGGTTGTGTTGGAAGTTATAACAATTGTTTTCCACGCGTGCCTTATGCAACGTCTTAAAAAAATAGGTAAATCTCAAAAATCATTAAAAGAATAGTAAAAACTCGCTCATAGAGGGATTTTAAGCCTGGTGACAAATATGGCATTCATTGTGCCAGTTTGATGCAAGATCTTTTTCGGCTGGACTAGCTACTCTTTCTTTATACTCATTGCAACCGTTCTACTTATGAAGACCACGCTACAAAAGTAGATCCTGTGCCAAAAGAAGATACCGCACCCACAGAAGCATGTATCGAGGATAAACCAGCCATAGATAGTTTCGCACTACGCCCAAAAACCAACGTTGTACACATTATGGAAAAGATTCACCCCTTCTGCGAAGTTTTAACGATATTTTCCAATGGATTCGAGATCGATTCGTCAAAATACGACCGGATCTTTCCTTATTCAGTCAAGTTCAATAAAATTCAGTTAAAATGATCCGTTTATTGCTTACCTATAAATTCTGAATCGCCCTCAAATGTAGAATACAGCGTCGCATCAGTGAAGGTCAGTCGACGCCGTTCATCTTCCCATAACCGAATCTGATCCGCAACCTGAACAACCGCAGCATTTCCGTTACACAACAGCTTTTCGAAAATCCTGCTGATCAAGATGTGTCAGTCTCTTTCAAAGTACTCACCGTAACAGGTAAGCAGTTCAGTGGACCTCCTGTAGCGATGCATTGTGGATGGGCGTTTGATCGAAGAAACGAAATTATCTGAGAAGCGGTAATTCCAACCTGAACAATATTTTCAATCTCGAATTCATTAGAAGTTCTTTCCAGTTTCGAACATACCTGCAAAGCCCTCCTAACAGATTCTCTTGTGAGAACTCCAACGGACATATCGTGAAATCTGTACGTCATCTCGGTGAACGTAGACAAAATGGCTAGCTGAAGGCTAGAACTTGTATAGGCGTAAAGCCGAAAATTCGTTTCAACGATAATGTTGCCACTCCGACGCTCGTCTAATCGACGGGCAACGCCAGCGTTTTCTTCGTCGTTCACACTCGAGCAAAGATTGATCAACAGAGGAGTGAGGAAGAACACTCTGCAATCAGAAGAAATTAATGGCAAATGTACTGCTCTCTACTTCTCTACTTCTACACCACTGACCATCTTCAATTTTTCGGAGAATTTACGAAACATCTGATATGGTGGCTTGGGTGACGGAAAGCTGTTCAACTTATTATTTCATCTATCCAATCGGTCAAAAAACTATGGGTTTAAGAAGCCTCAGTATTTCAAAATTCATGAAAAAAACTGGCTGTTTTTCGGAATCTCAATACTTCTTACTTTCTAAACCGTTTAGAAGTTTTCGAAACTAACAGAGAAATTTTTCAAAGGACGGAGGGAGCGCTAGCAAAGCTTGGTCAAACGGGTTGATATGCGAACGGTGATCAGATTATAACTATTCGCTTGCGAGCTGAATTCAGGCACATGACACACAAATCAAACATGTAGCATACTGACGCCGCACCTACTCCGACGGCTCACCTGAAAACCATACTACTCAAAGTAGTGTCCAAGTGCGATGACTCTGAAAGTTGTGCTTGACCTAGTGTTTTCTTAAATGGCTTTTGTCTTTCACCGAAATGTACGCAGAATAAAGCATTGTTACAATCTCGGTTTGCACAGCTTAAGATTTAAAACTCATACTCCTCATTTCCTTGGTATTATAGTATAACTGTGAACACAGCTCCTTACGAGAAAGATTAAGTATCATCGAATACTCCCGAAAAAATTGTGACTGACTCCACAACTTTGAACAGAAGACAGTTGGTAGAGTTTGATTAGACTCTACAGCTAGCCTATTTCATTTACACTGAACGACTCAACAGTATCACTATCACCCACTGTGATACAACACATTCCATTGAGACTAGCTGAAGCAGTATGGTACATTTTTTATTTACATTGGGCAAGTTCGGTAGGTCGTCTACCACTTGTCCGTACTGACCACTGACCAAGGGCGCAATGCAGCCAAAAGGGCGAAATTCACGCAGTGAGGTGTTCTACATCAGCAAGAGCTTCAAAAAGGTATGATTGAAGTATTTTGATGTATACACCGTGTATAAAAATATGTTTATAGGCCGTCACTCTTCCACCAGCACGAGCATGGCGAGTGAAAGAGACCGACGTTGCAGCACGAGGATACGTCTTGTGTATCACCAAATCAAAGGTAGGCAAGATCCCTGGCCTCCTTTTACTAGTTGACAATCATTTCAGGGACTATTCTTCGATAAGATGACCAACCTCGAGCCAAGATTGCTTACCCTTACTCGAAGCGGATTGCTTATCATTTACAATAAAGAAGATAAAGGTAAGATGTCAAATTCAGGAATGGACCGCAATAAGGATTGGTACATTCAAGGATACGTCGTGGACGTGAAAGACGCCAAAGTGATGACGACAAAAACTGATCACTTCCGCACAAAACAACAGTCATACGTAGGTCTTATATGTTTCTGACTGTAAAAGGGTAAGAAACCTGCATTGATAAATTGCGGCTACAAATTGGTAAGCTATGAAGGCAACCGAAGATTTCTCTGCACAACCGACCCCACGGTAGTGCAGAAATACCCCTGACAAAATCCGTCCATCAGCAAGTTAGTGATTGTGATAAGGAAAGCAGTGGTAGTAACCGACCGCTAATAGAACGAGGAACAATCAAAATCGACATTGATCTAACCTGATCTTTAATTGTGATAACACACTCTTACGAATTACCAAGACGTTTACGTGAAACACACGCATAAATTTTACAGGACGGTAAGACAGCCAGATATTTCTTCTATCATGAGCACAAGAAATAGTGTGAGCAGTAAGAGGCATCGTTACTTCAAATTACAAAAACAGTGAGTGCCGTGATACCCGCCTATTGTGATGCAATTATTCAATAACTTATCACGATCATGATTACTCCCCGTCAGAAGCGTGTAATGACATGCCCTATCCACTTGGATCGACTCTACTCGCACGCGCTGACAACAAGCAACAGCAAATGAGGACAACCAAATGGGAGTGATTAAGAGTCAAGGAAGGGAAGAACGAAACGTTGCGGCTTGCCCATGAAAACTGGGGCCTTGATACTTCGACGAGTGGTGTTCGCTGACTGTTGATAATAAGAAATGTCAGCAGTAGGGCAGTAGTAGGGCATGGTAAGGGGTCGCAGAAATCGAGAGTAACCGGGTTCCGCCGGCCTTCGATGCTAACATGGATAGATGGATGTATCTTATGGATGCCAATCTCGATTACATAATAGCGACAGAACCCATCTCAACGATTTTCACCATTGCAAGAGAGTCGCGGTTCGTTGGATCAAGTCCAGGAAGACCACATTAAACCAAAACCACAGTTGTAACAGTTTCTGTCATGTAGTACTTACAATCCCATAACTATCGACCTCGTTCACCGGAGTGGTCACATCAGCACGAATTGAGGCGCAGACTCACCGACTCTTGCCTTCTAGGGTGCCTGATCAGCTCTTATCACTTGCTAGCAGTCGTTCTAACAAATCATTTACGGTGGTTCTACACCATATATCTATTCTAGATCTAGATAACGAATGTTATCACTTCCTACAGCCTACCATCATAGTTCCCATCTTGTCGCCGTTCTGTACCCTACAAATTTGAACGCTCTAGCCCCAAGGAGCACGAGTTACAGCGGCTAAGCACGTACACCGAGACACACCCACCACAAACCAAGAGACACACACAAATTATATATATAGGAGGATACACTTGTAAAAATGTTGAGCATCTAACTACATGCCTGAAACTATCACATCGAGCGCAAGTGGAATTTCGGATTTTCTTTCTGCATGTGTAATGGATGTACTGCTTGTGAAGCAAACGTATTCAGGGGTACTTTGAGTATGAAAGCGCTAACTGAATATTTCGAAGCCCTATCTCGAGGATAACACGAATAATTTCCTGCGGTGGCTAATAGTTGATGGAAGTCATACTATGAAACCACAAATTACGGGGTTAGCTATTTTCGCCTTGCCTCGACTACCTATAGTCGTTTTCAGCGCCGATGCACTCTGAAGCTCAAGTTCAAGTATGGTTCTGTTTCTATGATCATGTTCAATGAAGAGATCCCCGCATGGAGAACAGCGATCGCAACAGCTCATGATGGTTTGCTGCGAACTCGACTGCATTTCATTGGAATTCACCGAGGTCCTCCACTGGCAATGCAAAGACTGGATAAAACCCTAAAAAATTTGGAAGAAGCCGGTGCCTCTACTGATGAACGTT